CAGGACTTGGAGTTATGGGTACCATTTCTAGATTGCTGAAAATTTATGCTGCAATTGTTGATCTTCTTGTATGAAAAATGATAGGTATTCTAAAGTTGAAATAATTTATCATTAAAAAAGATGTTTAGAAATAACGAATGTCTATTAAAAATATAAGCACACAACTTATGATTGCAATCCATTAACAAATGGACTACCCCCCAAGACATTTATGAAACATATTAAAAGAATGGGTCTTGAATGTAGTCAATGATGATTATTTTTAATTATAAATTGCTTAACAGTGCTTATATATTTGACATTTTGCGCTCATTTAATGTGTTTCTAATATTTCCTATTAGTTAATGTACATGTACGTATTGCTTTAATAAGTGGTAATAGGAATAGTCTTGGAAAAGACATTATTGTTAGATCATTATTGATGCTTCTCATTTATAGACTATGTTGAATAGGTTACTAGTGTTGTGGTACATGGAAGGGACTATGTCATTTAGGGATATACAACCGCTATGACTCACATTGGTAGTTTGTTTATCATGGTATTTATGATGACCAACTTAATACCTTAATTTGATTTATGGTGCACACTAATGACTATTTTACTAAACCACTACAGTAATTATCATATGTGCCAAGTGGGAGAATGTAAGATTATTTATTTAATTGTGGCCCACATGATTTGGACATGTGACATATTTTTTGGTGGCTAAGTAAATAGATATCAATTAATATTATTTATTTTTGGTCAACTTATAATTACCTTTTTTGGTAATTACTTATTAGGGAAGTGTTTTCATTTCTTATTCCTTACTTTAATGAAAAGTAGAATTATGTTACTAAAAGGAAAACGGGTTCTCTCTCTGCCTTTATAAAAGTGCATATACTCCATCAATTATGTAAGATGAATGATACAACATGTAAAAGTTTTATGTGTGCAAAAGGCCAAGAGAGATAAACCAGTTTTCACTTTTGCCTGTTGATCAGAGTTGCAGATTAGTTCATGGTTAAATGATTTAGACGTTGGATTTAATCTCAACAAGGTTTGATATCATGAATCGAGGTATTTATATCTAATCATTTATTTATGCATTATAGATATGTGAAAATCATGAAGTTCTAAGATTATGGGATTCATATTTATTTGTGATGAATGGCTTAACACGAATTAATTATAGATTACATGTATGACTCTTGATGAATCAGAAATGTTTGATCAGGTTTCATGTGGGTTGGGTAAAAATTTAGGCATGGGTGGTGTTTCCTTTGATTGTGGTGTAAAAATCACTACACGCTTCGCTTTTCTTAATGAAATGACAAATGGCTTCTTTCTCGATCAAAACGATGAAGGGATTCATGTTTATTTGTGATGAATGGCTTAACACGAATTAATTATAGATTATATGTATAACTCTTGATGAATCAGAAATGTTTGATTAGGTTTCATGTGGGTTGGGTAAAAATTTAGGCATGGGTGGTGTTTCCTTTGATTATGGATGTTTAATTTATCATTTTTTTTTTCCTAGTTGGACTCACACACACGTGTCTCTTCTGAGACTTGAACCTTTTACCTCTCTTTGGGAAGTAAGAGGCCGATACCACTAGGCCATTGACCCGTCGGTATGTTTAATTTATCATAATTATAAATAATTTAATCAATCACAAAAATTTGGCAACTTTACCTATTCACTCCCTCTAAGTTATTCAAAGAGTAATTAACAACTTAATCAGCTAACAACTTCACCGCGCTACTCACATAGGCTTCATTTGGATTCTAGATATGTGAAAGACTTAGACAACTGATGAGTCGGAAAGAGAATTGGAATTTATTATAACCGCGTAAGATTTTTATCAATGTTGGTTTTGAAGTCGGGAGGAATGTGTCCTCAATTCTATCATTCTTCAAAATCATCTCTAATAAAAATCTTACATGGCTATGATAAATTCCAATTCTCTTCCCAACTCATCAACGACGCACTCATCTATCGTCTGAGTCTTCCACCGATCTGGAATCCATTCTTCTTTAATCAAACCTTAAATTTGGTTTTTTTTTTTTTTTTCTCTCATTTTTCTTTTTTCTTTTTTTTTTTTTTCTTTCCTTTTTTCCCACTTCTTAAAATTATTCTTTTTTCACTTTTGCACTCATGTATTGTTTTAAGTGCTCTAACATTTTTTCTTTAAAATAAAATTTCACTTGATCAACATATTATTTTATAATGATTTATTCTTTCTTGTTTGTCTTTCAAATTCTTTTTTTTTTTTTTTTTTTTTCTTTTTTAAGTGCACCGATGCCCTTTAAAATGAAAATGAAGTTTTGGCTCCACTGTGACTCCGGTACAACATCTATTTATAGAGTAGATATCCGGTGCATTTGGGTAAGTGCACCCACCGCACTGAATATTTATTCCTAGTTACATGATCCCCCAACATGATTTATTTATTTAACGATGGTAAAGTCACAGATCCAAGGGTACAAAAAAAAAAAAAGAAAAAAAAAAAAAAAATTACCATACCTAATTTTAGTTCAGTCTAAAAAAAAAAAAATTATTATTATTATTAGAGCATCTCCAACCGTTTTGTATATATATATTTTTTTGTATAAATCTGATTTGTCATAATAGATTTATACAAAAAATTTTGATTATTTATTTTTAACTTTAGCGATTATTTTATACCTTTTTTGTAAAAATATATCTTCCAATAACAACCAGATAAAAAAAAACAATTTATACATCATACGTGTGAGTATATATTTTATACAAAAAAATATTTTAACAGTACTGCTCTTAGTTCACTCAAAAAAATATTAGCTCTGAATAATTCTTGAATTCGAAAATGTTACGGTTTTACTTGACATTGGATTACGGATAAACCTCAAAAAATATTTACTGAGACTACACAAAACGAGTCTAGTGACACGTACACGTCCGCCTGTCCTCCCCTTGTAAGCTCAAATCCTCTACGCAAGTCAAACCCACCTTCACATTTAGGGGAAGTCACCACACCCCTTCTTTCAACCGCCTTTTTGATTCTTCATTCTTTCTTCTTTCTTGAAACCCAAATGGGTCCTCACATTTAAATTACGTTTAAAATTGGCCCGTTGAGGGGCTCGCGTCTAATTAGCTACTTGGTTTCACAAAAAATTTCCCATGATATTAGTAATCTGCTAAGCCAAACACACTAAACTATTTTAATCACTTATCCCATACACCAAACCCCGATAGTTTACGTAGGAGTTTGTTGAAAATTGTCGGGTAATATTCTATGTCTAATATTGTCATGATGTTCAAAAATGCACTATGTTCTTGTAAACTTAAACTTGTACAAGTTGTGGTGCTAGGTCTAACATTTACCTATATTTGAAACCTCTTTCTTAATAATTGTATGAAGTGTCACATATAGATATTGAGCACATGCATTTAGAAAGTGTCATCTTTTCTTGGCTTTGAACAAATTTGTCCAAGCTAAAAATCAAGTTACTTCACCGCTTCATTGTTTACACTAGTCGTCTTCTCACCTGATTCAGACTTGCCGAAAAATATTACTTTTGAAGTCATTGCAGATAATACTTTCAATTCAATGATACAATTAAACATCTTTGCAAAATTATTATTGTTCAATAAATGCTTTCAGTAGTCAAATTTTAAATGATTTCTTTATTTATGTAATTTTCTCTTAACATTTTGTATTTTTGCTACATATATATTTAAATATGCATGCATTGTAATATTGTTGGTCCTATAGATTTCCTGAATCCATCATGATTCATGTTCACAAGTCAAATTCATTACACAAAGCAACTAAAATAAAAATTATCAAATGATCAATTGGTCCAACGGTATCACCTCATCCTTCTCAAAGGAAAGGTCGAGGTTCTAACCTCGGTGGAGATAAAGTATGCGTAATTACTTTAACCCTCGGTGGAAGGTGTGTGTAATTGTTTTAAAAAAAAAAAAATTGCACACTGATGTAGCCGTTACAACAGTTCTTTGAACTGCTCCTGGGCTAGACCCATTAAATTAAAGAATGGGCCTGATGCAAATCGTTTGGGCTTTTGGTCTTTTTACATGATTTGGACCTCCTAATGGTTTTTGGCTTCTTTTAACTTGTTTTTAAAGCTAAGCGGACCATTTGTTGACCCATCAACGGGTCAGTTGGAATTATGAACTTTTATTTATAGAAGGGTCGCGAGTGTTAAACATTCATTTGGTACGCAAATAAACACTTCTTTGTTATGCTTATGCAATAGGATATATAGCTCTTTACAGGTTTGAAAAAGTTCTTAATTTTTGGTATGTAAATAGGGTATATTACCACTTATAGATTCTTAAAAGTCTTTAATCTTTATTTTTGGTGCGAACAAAGCTTATTGTCAATGGAGTGATTAAAAGACTAATGCGCCCTTATGTATTTGAAAAAAATTTAAAAAGCGAAGACAAAATAAATTTTAAATGACCAAAGTATCATAATTAAAAACAATATGATGTGTTTATATGTAAAATGGTATAAAGGTATTTTGAAAAAATCATAAGGGCATTTTAGGAAATTTGTTACTTAATATAGGCAAATTAAATGGGATTTTTTGACATATTATACAAATTAAGTCCTTATTTGCTCAATTTTTAAAACTTAAAACCCTATAAACCTAAATTAAAGGTTCAAAGTGTTATCTACCTAAATTTTAAATATTATGGATGTTTTTATCACTTTACACTTTTTACAAATTTCTTGAATTTCTAGAAGGAAAAAGAAAAAAAGAGAGAAAGCTGAATTAATGCAAACCAATAGTCAGCAGATAAAATGCTCACACACTGTCATGCATAACACATTGGGATAACCATAACTGTAACATGAATTTCTCCACATTTTGGACCAATTTAGAGATGGACATGCAAAGTGTAATTGTGATGCCTACATTAAAATTAGTATTTATATGACACAACGAAGCAACCCAAAAGAGCAAACAAACAGGAAATCTAGAGAGAGAAAGGCAAGAGAGAGAGATGGCAGTGTCAGCTTCCACCCATTTCATGGCTTTGGCAATCCTTGTGATTGTTGGGATGATAAATTTTGGCTACAGTACAGTACCTGGGCAGTGCAAAGGCAACTTGGATGATTTTGCAGAACAATGCTACGAGTCAGCAGGTATAGGAGGGCCAGAAGTACAGCCATCTGTAACATGCTGTGATGTTGTCAGGGAGTTCGATATTCCATGCTTGTGCAAGTACCTCTCTAGTGATGATGAGGTGTTCGTTGCACCAGATAGAATTGTGTATATTGCGGATTCGTGCGGCCAAGCTCTTAGCCATGGAACCAAATGTGGAAGTAAGAAGCGATCTTTCTTTTGTTTTGTTTTGCTTTTTTTTTTTTTTTTTTTTTGCCCCGTCAATAAGATTCGTGGAATGCGTCCCACATAGATCGGGTAAAACTCACGTTAGATCCACAAACTTAACCCTTCAAAAATTGTTTGTGCCTAAAAGGAATTGATTCTAAAGTCTCATGCTTCAAGAGGCACGAGGCTTAAAGTCTTTTTCAATTAAGCTAGTCAAACCCTTTAGGATTAAAGCAATCTCTTTTATAGATCCATTTCCACTAATTAGTTAATGCATTCATATATATATATATATATATACACCTATACCTATACCAAATTGTGTTACTCTTAGAACTTGAATGATTGGAGATGTAACTCTAATAATTATAGTCTCTAAATAGTACATTAGTGTTGCACTTAAAGGGGACCAAAATCGTCTCCAGTGAAACAAGAGACCTGTTTCCCCTGGTTTTCACTTCTCACTGTTCTTGCACTATAGCGACAGTAAAAAATGGGCCAAACAAGACTTTGGGTTAAAAAGGGTATCTGAGAACTGTAACAACTTCTTCTTATAACCTTCTTCTAACTCCACTTCCGAAAACCTAAGTCCGAGAACTGTAACAACTTCTTCTCACAACCTTCTTCCAACTCCACTTCATCCCTTTCGAAAACCTAAGTCCAAGAACTATAACAACCTCTTCTCTTGACCTTCTTTCTAAACCTAAGTCCGAACCCTGTAACAACCTCTTCTCCACGACCTTCTCCTTCTTCCAATTCGACTTCCCTTCCAACCTTCTTCTTCTTCCAATTCGACTTCCCTTCGCGATTTTCACCGCCAATTCCACTACCTAGAAAATGAAGGATATTTTGTGAGATTTTTTAATATGAAGGATATTTCAGTAAAATCTCTCAAATATGCATATATATATATATATGTATATATACACACACACACACACTAACATATACACTCCAAATACACACAACTGATGATAAGTTTTTGAACAGTCTATGTTTTTTTTTTTTTTTTTGATGTGACCCAATCTGGACCATAGATCCAAACCGGCTGGAATAAGACTCCTGCTTGACAGGAGAGGATTTTTGTCCCACTTAGAGGAGGTGACACTATAAGTTTCTTTGCATGCATTTTGAGTTTTGAATTAATTGTTTTTCCACGTGTGGAAATGTTAGAAGTTTAAAAAAAAATCCTAATCTTTTGAATCCTTGTTGCAGAGATCATTATATTGTATTCTATAATCAACAAATGTTGAAACCACCATGCTTTTTGCCCCCACATTCCCACAATAATATTTATACATGTATTTCCCCACAATAATATTTATATAAGCACAAATACATAAATATATTTTTGACCTGTCAGGATTGCTCGGATGGCAGAATTCTCGAATTATTAACTTGAGTTTGAGTCCTTAGTCCAAAAAGTTTAATTGGAACAATTTTTATCCAAATATTAAAAAAAATAAATTAAAAAATCTGTAATAAACCTCTTTAGCTAATTAATCTTTTGCTTCTTCTTCTTCTTCTTCATTTTTTTTTTTTTGTTTTGTAGGTTACACAGTTCCATGAGGCAATGTTATATACACATAGATATCAATCAAAGCAGTGTCTCATTATGAGGATATGCAATTGATTTAGTATTTACTGGTGACTAAATTTGGGCAGAGTCAGCTTTGTCCTTGTATCAGAATAACGTTATTTTCGGAGTGGAAAGTAATTTGAAGCAATACAATGCCTCATCAAAATCATCTTTCTTGTTGCTAGTGGTGAAAAATGTTGTGACATAAGCATTATACTGTATATATTATAGGCATGTTATTCGCACTGTGCACCTTGCACCCATTTTTTTTTTTTTTCCTTGCAAATAAAAAGAAGAAAAATATTATTTGGAGACGAAATTTTGAAATTTGAAAGATGATTTTAATGAGACGATATATTGTTTCAAAAGTTTATTTTGTTTATTAAGGGTCTTGTAATTTAGTGATATTTTCTTTATCTATCAAAGTAAATGACTATGATTTAAGTTTTTTATAAATGGGTGTGAATTTTTTATTACGCGAAAAAAATAAAAAAAATAAAAAATAAAAAATGAAGAAGAAGGTGAGAGTTTCAGTTTACAAATCACATGAATGTGTGTCAATCTGAGTTCACATAACACATATAAAATCAAGGAGATAGAAGATAATGGAATTTTATAAATTCAAAGTCAATTCCATAATAAAGTCAATTCCCCCACAAAGTCAAGCAAATATATTGATAAAGGGATTTATACAAATGGGCTACGTATGACCAAGGAGGAACATGTGGCGAGGAGAAGAAAGGGTCCAACAATTGAAGTGGGCCAAAACCAAACAAAGATACAAAAATCCGGCCCATGGCCTGTTCAAGCAGCTGTTGTGGCTGCTGTATACATCCGGTGGCTCGGGCGGTGGTCTGATGTAGGAAGGAGAGAGATTCCAGTCATTCATAATTCTTTGAGAAGAGTCGTTGTCCTTCATTGACTGTGAAATTGTTCACAGTTAAAAAATAAAGTTGATCCATCATATATTAGATGAAACTAATCGTTCTGCAAGCGTAAAAAAGTCTGTACATATGAGTCCACCTAGACGTTACTATGACGGGTCTTATATAGTAAAATAACCCTTTAATAAATTAACATTTCATGCAACATTTTGAAGAGGTGAACTTTTGTACGCATATTCATTCATTATTGGACTGTGAAATTATTTCTGTCATGACTCACCCACAGCGTGCAGATATTTTCCGTTTTGCACCCTCTACACTCTGCAGTATGAGCAAGGCAAAAGTAGTTTCTTTTCCACTTGCAGGTCATTTTTAGCTCAGTTCTAAACAATGTCCTACGTACAAGTGAGGAAAAAAAAGAAGAGATGAAGAAAGTGCCTTATGCATCAGCAGTTGGTAGTTTGATGTACGCCATGGTATGCACAAGACTAGATATCTCTCAGTGTTGTCAATCAGTTCCTCTCTAATCCGGGTAAGGAACATTGGGCAACAATGAAATGGATTCTCAGGTATCTTAAAGGCACTTCCAAAATATGTTTGCGCTTTGGTAGTGATGAACTTGTGTTACATGGGTATATAGATGCAGATACGACAGGTGATGTTGATTTCAGGAAATCCACTTCGGGTTAGTCGATGACATTTGCAAGGGGTGCAATATCATGGAAGTCTAAGCTTAAAAAATGCGTTACTTTGTATACGACTGAGGCCGAGTATATTCCAGTCACTGAAGCTTGCAAGGAAACATTGTGGTTGAAAATTTTCTTGCAAGATTGGGATTGAAGCCAGGAAGATAAATGCTTAATTTATTGTGACATTCGACTCGTTATCCATCTATGTAAGAATCTAAGTTTCCACTTATGATCGAATCAAATTGATATAAAGTATCAATAGACCCGTGATGTGCTAGAGAAGAAGTTGCTACAGCTCGATAAAATCCATACTGATGAGAATGGGTTAGATGTGTTAACAAAATCAATACCCAGAAAACACTTAATGCTTGTAGACAGAGAGCGGGCTTGGTGGAGACAAATAAAGCGGAGGGGGAGAATTGTTGGGTTTGGTTCATCCCACTGTGGGGTTGACCAAGTGGTCATGTGGGCCCAACCAACATTTATAACTAGTCAAACAATAAGGGCTGTAGCACTCACCTGAAGCGACGCATCGAAGAAAAGTATTAGAATTGTTGCTCCGTTTTTTATTGAAATTTCAGGTTGTGATTCCTAGCAACAAGCTCTACACATCTACCGGATCAGATTATTGGTAAAGCCTCTCCAATTTATTGATTGGATTCATTCTCTTTTACTCACTAGCTTGGGAAAATCTAAACCTTTCTTGTTGAGTTTATTGTTGAAATCCATTTGTATTGGTGAGTATATAGTTGTGGTGAACCAAGGGTATGTTACTCTTTGATGATTGTGAACCTCTAGTGGTGACTAGAGAAGGAACTTGTGTATCCCATTATTATCACATAGTGAAAGTTGAAATCCTTGTGATTTTATTCCCCTTTGCGGATTTTTTTCACATACATCTTAGTGTCACTTGTGGATGATTATTATTACTTATTTGCTTGTGCTTAGTTGATTGGAACACATATCCTATTTTAATCACACAAAAACAGAAAAAGATTATTGCTGCGTATTGTTGTTGTTTCTGTTAACAAAAATTGTTGTCTCTAATAACAAAAATTGGCAGCAAAACTCTCCCATTGCCGTCGTTGGTCCTTGTCTTAATGACGTAGCGGAAGCGATTAAATGTTCGTAAAGAATTCACAAACTAGAAGAAAATTTGTAAAGAATTCTGAAATATTATTGATAGAATTGATTGATCTTTTCTGCTCTCGCATGCATGCATATTTATAATAAATAAAACCCTAATACTTTATAGGAAACTAATAGCAAAAAATAAACTATTTACTTAAGGAAACAAAAAATATAAAGAAACTAGTGAAAATTAAACTCTCCGATCCTAAAAATAAAATAAATATAAATAAAACCAATAAAATTATCCTGCATCAGTCCCTTCTACGTCATTGTTGAGTTTATTGTTGAAATCCATTTTTATTGGTGAGTATATAGTTGTGGTGAACCAAGGGTATACTACTCTTTGATGATTGTGAACCTCTAGTGGTGACTAGAGAAGGAACCTGTGTATCCCATTATTATCGCATAGTGAAAGTTGAAATCGAACTCCAATCCTTGTGATTTTATTCCCCTTTGCGGATTTTTTTCACATACATCTTAGTGTCACTTGTGAATGATTATTATTGCTTATTTGTTTGTGCTTAGTTGATTGGAACACATATCCTATTTTAATCACACAAAAACGGAAAAAGATGATTGCTGCGTATTTTTGTTGTCTCTGTTAACAAAAATTGGCAGCAAAACTCTCCCATTGCCATCGTTGGTCCTTGTCTTAATGACGTAGTAGAAGCGATTAAATGTTCACAAGGAAAAGAGATTACCTTGATTCCACAAGGTGGTACCTTGAATCTATAAGGTGGTGTAGTTTGAATCTACAAATTAGAAGAAAATTCGTAAAGAATTTTGAAATATTATTGATAGAATTGATTGATCTTTTCTGCTCTCGCATACATGCATATTTATAATAAATAAAACCCTAATACTTTAAAGGAAACTAATAGCAAAAAATAAACTAATTACTTAAGGAAACAAAAAATATAAAGAAACTAGTGAAAATTAAACTCTTCGATCCTAAAAATAAAATAAAATAAATATAAATATAACCAATAAAATTATCCTGCATCAGTCCCCTCTACTTCAAGAAACGTGTCCTTGAGTTTCAATATGGATCATATTTTCTTTCATTGTCAATTTTCTTCTATTGTCAAATTTTATTTATTTATTTATTTTCATAAGGTTCGATTCCACTTCTCTCTCTTTCAAACCATCTTCAACTACATGTGCAACAATAAAATTTTGTTCACATCCAATTTCTTTTTTGGCAGAGTTATCTTCAATTACAAGAGGCGAATTAAT